ACACACACACACACACACACACACACACACACACACACACACACACACACACACACACACACACACACACACACACACACACACACACAACAAACAACACACACGACGACGACGACGCGCCCACCACACACACACACACACACGCGTACGCGCGCACGCACGCACGCACGCACGCACACACATACACGCACACACACACACACACATACACTCACGTTATTATATATTTACTATGCGCAGTCGAACACCAGTGTCAGGTGCGACTATTCACGCAGAGTACGATCGGCATCTTCATAATGAAGTTGCCGGGCGGGGTGACCTGCCGAAACACGCAGCCCGTCGCCGACTTCAGCGAGTGTCGGGGATACTGCCCGTCACGCGACACCTTCAACACGATCGTCAACGACTTCGAAAGCACGTGTAAATGTTGTGCAAGCAAGGTGACGGTGAGTGTGAATGCGCGCCGGTGAAACCCGTCAAAGAAGTATAATTTAATTTGCTGTTAACCCACAAACCCGCTGACTGACCGGGTGACTTACTAAGTGACTAAATATAAGTGACGGACAGACGCTGACCGACCGACCGACCGTCGCGCGCGCGCGCGTTTGTGCGTGTGGTGTGTGTGTGTGTGTGTGTGTGTGTGTGTGTGTGTGTGTGTGTGTGTGTGTGTGTGTGTGTGTGTGTGTATCTGTTTGTGTGCGCTCGTGTTCGCGCGTATTATCAAGAGCTATTAATACGTGTATTATTAGCTCTTGGTATTATACATGGCTGTATACCGCATTGTAATCTGTGCATAGCATGTCAAGTGATAACGTTTATCCTATGAGCTTTCATTTCGATTTACAGTCTGTTGTCTAGTCCCTTACTTATGACGAGAATTTCTGTAACGATAATGAGTCTAGTGAAAGTATATTACATTGAGTGTACAAATAACGACACGATTATCGCCTGAGCGCTGGCATTTTGGGATCTTTATTAGACTAGCGGTGTAGATACCAGTATATTTTCTGGCAGCATTGGACATCGAGATGCGCTGAACAGCATGACAGGTGATTTATCGCATCTCACTTATACCATATATACATCAACGCACGTACATTCATTTATTTCCGTCTATTTCCATCGATTTCATGCCGTCTCCCCTTATTATAAGCGCCGAGTTTTATATCCACACACCTAGCACCCTGGTGCGACACTAAACCATTAAAATGACTTATTACCAGAATGCCAGGCTAGATATTTCTCCTAGATCTATCGCGTCTGTTTTCTTCTTGATATTAGGTACGTGTTTACTTCCATACATCTACAATACAATACATAAATCAAGAGTTTCGTGAACCCGGAAAGTCAATTGTCCTCACAACCATGCATAAATTAGATCTATATCTGTATCTATATATCTATATATATATATATATATATATATATATATATATATATATATATATATATATATATATACTACTCGTAACGTGGAGTTGACCTGTGGGTACGTTCTATGACTTCACAGCGAGATGTGCAGATACAACTGTCGTGTGACAACGGCACACCAACGATGCACACCTTCCGCCAACCGGTCAGCTGCGAGTGTAAGACATGCAACCTGGAGAGTAAGGACGCAGGCTGGGAAGTACCAGGCGCCGTGCCGGAGAAGAAGAGGAAATAGACGTCTCCATGGCGATTAGTGACGATATTTGTGCAACCGCACCCGCAGGAGACGTCACTTCGTCGCTGGCACCAGTAACAAATATCGTCGCTATACTGACGCGAGTTTGTTTAGGAGCGTTTACATATACGTTCTTCACTGAATCTTTTACCATCGATTATACCGATGCATGTATCCGTAGTAATTCCTGGCTAATAAATTATTCAATTATTATTTAATTATTATTAATTAACGTATCAACTATATAATCACTGTAATAACTCAGTAAAAATACGTTGCCTTTATGCTAGAGGAGGCAATTATTGAACTTACTATACAATGACGTGTCTCAAACGGCTGTCGTCTAGGCTTAAGATTAGATTACACATAGTAATAGTATTGTTAAATTAAATTTCCGCAAATAATTTAAAATGGGATTAAAGTTTAAACCTGACAATAGTCATTTATTTCTTCTTTCGATTAATTTGTCTTAATCCCCGGCAACTGGTTATTGTACATGTTTTCCTCTCTCAGGTCTCTAATTACCACTGAGGACGAGTTAATACATGAATATGTTTACAACTCCGTTGCCAACTTTATAAATGCTCTATGTAAACAACGACCGCTGACCCACAGATAAGCCGCATGTATGATGTTTTTATACCATTTTCCGAAAAAATAAACCAAATATATAAGCCAAGTTATCGTTTATATTAGATTATGTGACAATGTGCACCATACAAAATAGAAAACACGTAATTATGTTACAATAAAACACAGAACACACAGCATTTATAGAAGATATATCTGTTTATATTGCGGAACGTAACCACTCTCATCTGTACAGCCGACCGTGGTAGCGCGCTATGAAAGCTCAGTACAAAAATCATCAGGCCGATCGCGACCTCTGCCGCCGCCAGCACGAAACATACATTTAGTCGCAAGCTAACAGAGACAATCACACGAGGCGACGTGTTATCTCGCATAGCACCCCGCGCAGAAATCGTACACACGCACGCACGCACGCACGCACGCACAAACAGACGTATGCGCGAATATATACGATAAAAGTACAAACATGGTTTGTACAACTCCACCCGACTGAAGCATCATCACGCACGTAAAACTAGAGCCACTAGTGTGAAGCACGGTCAGCGGACTACGACTGTGATAACACCAACACGCACTACCCGCAGTGTGGGCTCACAATGGAAATAGCTCCATGACGCACCGCCAGATGGCAGAACAATACATCGTGACATACATATACACTGATATATATATATATATATATATAGAGAGAGAGAGAGATGAGGAAGATAGAGAGCAGAAGAGAGAAGTAGAGAGAGGAAGAGAGAGAGATAGCTGCATAGAGTAGATGAGAGAGCAGAGAGAGAAAGGAGAATAAAAGAGAGAGGAAGACATTCTCTAGAGACTGACAGAGAGAGAGAGAGAGAAAGAGAAAAAGAGAAAAAGAGAGAGATCAGTAGATATATGATATCGAACAAATGCTACATGCTAACACCAACACCCTACCACCAGGGAACGAACATCTTGCTTGCCGACCATGTGTAGAAGACTTATCAATAAGCTACACAGTAGATGCTAGCTCCTGGCCGGGATGCTACTCTTCATGACCACTGATCAATAAATAATAGCTGGGTGATCCATTGTGGAAAATATGTGACGTCACTTGGCCGCCATATTGGTCGACCAATAGTCAAATTATTAGCATCAGTTGGAGATTAGACATTAGATGTGCTTCAACGCACATTATGATATTAACACGCTAAATGCTGATAGATCTTAGTCGACAAATATGGTGGCCAAGTGATCTCATCTGTTAGCATTGTGCGAACAGGACAACGGCTTGTCTAGTCATTATATACAGACCAGTGTTGAAGATACGACAGGTAAAATTAGAGCTAGTGAGAATGCTGCGCAAGCTAACTAGTCTAAATTACTAAAGGACAATCACTAAAGAAACAGCGCTTTCTACACTGTGCAGCTGGCACTGAGGCAACGTGGCAACATTTATTCACATGGCTATTAGAAAATAAAATACGCGTTGATTAAAACCGACGTTTCACGCATGCGCGCGCGCGCATATACAGAGCTACACTATGTGCAGAGAATAAAAAGCTGCTCGCGGTAAAAAAAAACACCGTTGCGACATTACGCCCATCTATATGCAGCAACGTCGCAGGCTCAACACAGATACATCTAAACCATCACGGCGGCGGCAAAGACGCATACAACAAGAAAACGACCATCTTCCATCTATCATACGACATTATAGCGTCCTCTGTATCATCTCAATCATCTACAAGACTATTCTAGCTTGCTTGCAGCATAAATCCATTGGCAGCACCGTTGCAAGTTTGCGAGTGACGGTGCGGCAAACTTGCGACGTTTTATTGCGAAACTTTATTGACGTATAGGCTAACAGAAGAAGTGTTAGGTCGTTTGTAGTGATAACGCCAATGAATGTCGGTCATATTCTCACTTGGTTGTTTGTATGGTTAGTATATGCGGGCAGGCAACGCGCCTCGGCATGCGTGCACGATGACCACGTAAGCTGCCACCTCTCACAACGACCACAGGAACAGCGATGAGATCACTCTGCTGTCGATTGCCATAGCAACAGCGCGTACATATGAACATGTGAGCGAGCTCGGTGCGACGTAGCGGGCGGGTGACGACGGTCGACACTAAGCGTGCGCGGGCGAAGAAAGAACGTCATCTAAACTAAACACCCACACGCGGGGGGTAGCTACCACTTTTGGTACACGAATAACTCACATTCAACATTCTCTCAATAGATACACAGACGGACACACTTGGCACCAAATTTCCAGTGAATGCTTATATGTATTATATATATATATTATATATATAGATCGATAGAGATACATATATCTATACATGTATCAAGTACAGCACAACTGACCTCTCTGTCACCCCCGCCGGCTGCTTATCGTTATCACTACACCGCCGAGCGATTCTGCTATAAAATAAATAATTTCATAGACAATAAAATCCGCCTTAATCCGGGCATCCACCGAAGCCAAGGGACCTGCACTGTAGTAACAGTTACGCAACCACCCTACCTCCCTCCCTCCCTCCCCCTTACATGGTCTAAACAATCGGTCGGCGTACATCTTGCGGCGTGCATGCCATTTCCACCGGCCCATTTCGATTATAAAATCACGCAGACCGCACACATTTCCCGTCGGCAACCGACGGAAAAGCCTCGGCCATTAAAAAAAGCACACGTTCCTTGACGTTGCGGCGGCCGCGGGCGACAGCGACCGCAACAACTGCGGCACACAGGCGTCGACGCGCTACGAATAGAAAACTCGCAAACAACAGCGCTAAAAGCAACGCGGGTTAAAAACAGCGTCAACGTCGCCTTCTAACAGACTGTCGGTGATCCCTATGCAACATTTCCCACAAACGGGTAATGCATTGTCCTGTGAACGGAAGCGAAACGCAAGAAAGAACAGTATCAGGCGACAGCGTCCTGCTATTCTGTTGCGGGGTGCGCTCGCCAGTTACAATAAAGCTACGAAAGGATTCGCGGCGGCTAGACCCGACGGATAAAGACTGCAGCAGCAAGGCGACCTCGCTAGCATGAGTCATGATCAGAAATCGCTAAAAGCTAGCGAGTCTCGACGACGAAACGCTCGAAGATAAAAACACGGGGCAGAAACTAGCTGTCGTTGACGCCTCAAGCAACAAGCTCTCAGGGTCGTGGAGTTGCTTCACAGACGCACACATAAGCGGGCGATCGCACACAGAAACACGCACGCACGCATATACGCCCACGAACACGAAAGCACACGCACGCTGGATCGCGCGCACACACACACATACACAACACACGCACAATGATGGAAGGGGGAGGGGGAGCCACACACCGACGCGAGTGACACGTCGTTTCTCTGCGTGGGCTGTTAACCAACTAACGATCACGAAATCGTGTTGATCTAATGTTGACTCCATGAGACGGGAATCAGTGGGCAGTTGTAAATCGAAGCAGGAAGCCATCCCTAGCACGCACCTCTAGGTGAACGAGCGCGAACTCGCGGAATGCGAACGAGGGCGTCTCTTCCTCCTTCAGACAGGTGACTTGCAGCAGTCCGTAGTCAACCGTCTCGTACAGGTCCGGCCAGTACTGGTGACACTTGACGCGACCTCGCTCGACCTTCGTCGTCAGCATCACCACCAGCGAGCTCTGCTGCTCCCAGATCATCTGTGCGGCATGCAAAATGAAAGTGTCAATGACACTGTAGCTCACCTTGGGTGTGATAGAAGAGGGAGGGGGGATATATAAAGCAAGAGTATATATGGGAGAACTCCCATTATATAGCATATCACCCATTATATACTCTTGATAATGATATATGCATAGGTTTTGAACACGCACGCACGCACGCACGCACGCCCACACATACTGTCCCCTGTTCCCATAAATACAAAATTGGTCCTAGACTGTGAACACACTGACGAACGTGTGTCCTCACTCATAATAACGTATCCTCTAATAACTGCTAATTAATACATACACGATCCTCGCGACAGACACTGATCACGATCATGAATCTACGAGCGGTAGACCATCGCGGCGCGATACGAGTAGAAACATGTGTATAATAGCTTCTATATAAGCGCAGCAAGCACGTATCAACGCGGCCGACGGGCGATGATGCCACCTATCATGTGCATATAGAAAACAAAAGTGCGGCGATCCGACACCTAATTAACAACGACTGTCCACTAAAACACAACACACTCTGTACACGCACGCTCGTCTCGCCGGCTGCTGCTCTATGAGAGCCAGTGATCCCCGCATGACGAGTCTTCCACATAACACGACGTTAAATATATTAGTCCAACAAATAACCTACCGCGTCTGTTGCATATATAGTTATAGCACTCACTGTTCACGTGATACGTTTTCAGATGCAAACGAAACGGTCGTAAGCAACGGAGATTTGCAGTAACGATGCACGCACAGACAGACAAGACACGACCTCCCATCGCCCCACATATAGGTTCACGCCCAACTGTGCAGGGTAATATCTCTCACTACAACAATAGCTGCTAAGTTTAGAAACGATCAGAGATTGTCATTGCATGAAAGGAGCGAGAGGGAAAGAGGGAAAGGAAGGGAGTGAAAGAAGGGCGTAGAAGAGACAATGAAAGAAAAAAGAGCGAGACAGAGAGACGGAGAAAGAGAGGGAGAGACGGAGAAAGAGAGGGAAAGAGAGAGAGGGAGAGAGAGGGGGGAGACAAAGAGAAAGGAATCCGCAACGGCAACCCAGCTGTGACGAAAACCTCGCTTGTTGACGACTCACACGTTGCCAACATACATCCGACGGGACGGAGGGCTAGATACACAGAGGCGTTCTACCCGTGACAGATCGTGTCCCTCCGGAGGATGATTGACACATGAGGAGTCACGTGTGCACACGCACAAGCTGGCGACTCAGGGACCCTTATACGCGCACGGTGACGTCACATAGTGGGCAGTACTGCTGCAAGTAGCGCGCAGCATCTGCGCTTTGCGTTGGTCAACGTAGACGAACATTTGTGCGTTGTCACGAAAACATCAGCTGGCTGGTTCGTCCCATGGGCTGCGGTGTTGCCATCAGAGGGTGCTATATCTTGAAATCCTTGAGGGGTTTCACGATTCCCTCTGCAAGGAGAGCGAGAATGTTTTGTTTAGGAACAATATTTATTACAGAAACGTTAAACAAATTAAATACACTGTATGATCTCATGATTAGTGCCATCTTGAGCAATGAGAGCATCGTTTGTGTGAGTGTCATGTCATCTTTAGATGCAATCTCTCTCTCCGTCCCACTCTTTCTCTCTCACTTTCTAGCTCTCCCCCTCTCTCTCTCTCTCTCTCTCTACCTCTGTCTCCATTTACATTTCTACTAGCCACTCTGCACTCTACACCACATCAGAAGCAATTTTAGAGGAAAAAGTCATCACTCACCTGAATACACCCTCACAATCGCATCACACACAAACTTGTACTGACCCTGTAACAGTAAGTATATTATTATGCATATTAAGCAGTGAGTATACCGAGTTATTTACAACACATTTAAATGGTCAAGTATGAGTAATAATGAAACCAAGTAATTCAGTAAGCAATTAAAAGCGAGGCTACTTCACAGCTTTAGTGTGACCAATATCCCGACGTGTGGAAACAATGTCACATAGCCTTTCAGTCTATCACCATTGACCAACGACTATCTTCCGTCCACTACCATCCTTTGCTATGCTCGCATATTCGATGATGCATTGTTTGTTACATATAAAAAGAAATTGAGAAAGAGAAACTGTCGTCACTTCCTCCTTAAAATACATGAATACGCTAGTGGGAAGAGCACAATTACCCATCCATTGGGAAATCATAGATATATGTAACAATATAGTCATGGAACCACAGACAAAGTGCGATGTGAACGAACTAGTGTTTCTAGTAGGGAAATACTGGATTGGATGTTGCGGATGATGGGGTGATGAAGTATTGGGGCGAAAGTGGGGTGATTGGTGCTGGGTTGTTTAGGTGAGATTGGGGTTTCACTATTGGGGCCGTTGGGGGTGTTAGGGTGTGGGGGTATTGGGATATTAGGGAGTTATGGGTATTAGATTGTTGTCTGTGGTGTGTGTGTGTGTGTGTGTGTGTGTGTGTGTGTGTGTGTGTGTGTGTGTGTGTGTGTGTGTTTCTGTATTTTTATATTACGGGGTCACGAGGGGGGTTCGGTATTGTGATATTACGGGGTCACGGGTGTTTAAGCGGTTGAGTACGCACCGGGGTCTGGATTAGCATCGCGCGTTGGTCCCGCATCGCCTTCACCGCATCTAGCGGGTAGATGGGCTCGTTGGCTTCCATCAGACACATTGCCGTTTCCATGGTGATGAGAACCCCTGTGCGTCCTATACCCGCGCTGAATCACATCAATGTCACTGTTAGTACTTGCAACTCACGATTGCAGTTGATATGGATAGTAAAATGATCTTATATACAGCGACCACCGACCCCCTCCTTATGTTAATGCTTACAAATACCTACGAATGACCGATTGAGCCGGCCCTATCCCCCCATTTAGGTGCCAGCAGATATAAAGGGCTAAAAAGTGAGCATATTTCCTCTATGGCCAGCTCAAAACTCAGAAGTAAACACTAAACCCAAAATATAAACTAAAAAAAATTGTAAATAAACTTAAATAATGAAGCACCAATTCTAAAGCACCAATTACTAGTCAGATGACCTCTAAAGCCCAGTCCTCCCTCATCAACGGGTGCATTTTGGATGTATAATTATACAATAGATAGATGCCTAATGAATTTTCTCGTTTTGTGTTTGTAGTTGACAGTTATAACGTGATGAATAGGATCCCCAGAGAGTCAGTCCAGACCTATCACAACACTGCAATAGTTTTGCACATACTTAAAATGTAAGATGGAGTCACACATTTATTTAAGCATAATACAGGATGGATGGAAAAACAAGTGAAATGCCACCAGTGACTGTCCTGCAGCCACCACACTCTAACCAGCACCCCCTCCCCCTCAGCACCCCCAGCAACTCTCTGCAGTGGTCATTCACGCACCACCGTGAATTCTACCACACCACTACTCGCCCCAGCAACACCATGACCATGCCCCAGCCCCGCTCCAGCGACGCTACGACCACCCCCCGGTCCCGCCCCTGTGACACCATGACCACGCCCCGGCCCCGCTCCAGGAGTGAGGCGGAGAGAGAGAAGAGAGGTGAGAAGAGACGAGGAGTGAGGCGGAGGAGAGAGAGACGAGTGAGTGAGGCGGAGAGAGAAGAGACGAGGAAGTTGAGAGCGCAGAGAGAAGACCAGAGACGAGGAACGGTGACGGCGGAGGGAGAGAAGAGACGAGGGAGTGACGGCGGAGAGGAGAGAAGAGACGAGGAGTGAGGCGGAGAGAGAGACGAAGAGACGAGGAGTGAGGCGGAGAGAGAGAAGCGAGGAGTGAGGGAGAGAGAAGAGACGGGAGTGAGGCGGAGAGAGAAGAGACCGAGGGAGCTGAGGCGGAGAGAGAAGAGACGAGGAGTGAGGCGGAGAGAGAAGAGAGACGAGGAGTGAGGCGGGGGGCAGTAAGAGAAGAGACCGAGGGAAGTGAGGCGCGAGAGAGAGAAAAGGACGGAGGGTAGGCGGAGAGAGAAGAGACGAGCTGAGTGAGGGCGGATGAACGAGAGAAAGACGAGGAGAGTGAGGCGCGGAGAGAGAAGAGAAGAGACGCGAGGGAGTCGAGGGGAGAGAGAATGAGACGAGGATGTGAGGCGGAAGAGAGAAGAGACGAGGAGTGAGGCAGAGAGGAAAGAGACGAGGAGTGAGGCGGAGGAGAGAGAAGAGTACGACGGAATGAGGCGGAGGAGAGAAGGCACGAGGAGTGAGCGGAGAGAGAAGAGACGAGGAGTGAGGCGGAGAGGAGAGGAGACGGAGGAGAGTGAGGCTGAGAGAGAAGAGACGAGGAGTGAGGCGGAGAGCAGAGAGAGAGGAGTGAGGCGGGATGAGAGAAGAGACGAGGAGGTGCAGGCGGAGATGAAGAAGAGACGAGGAGTGAGGCGGAAGAGAAGAGACGAGGAGTGAGCGGAGGAGACAGAAGAGACGAGGAGTGAGGCGGGAAGAGAGCGAGAAGCGAGACGAGGAGTGAGGCGGAGAGAGAAGAGACGAGGAGTGAGGCGAGAGAGAGGAGACGAGGAGCTGATGGGCTGAGAGGAGAAAGAGACGAGGAGTGAGGCGGAGAGGGAAGAGGGAAGAGACGAGGAGGTGGCGGATGAGAGAAGAGACGAGGAGTGAGGCGGAAGAGAGAAGAGACGAGGAGTGAGGCGGAGAGATTGAGAAGAAGAGATGAGGAAGTGACGGAAGACGAGAAGAGACGAGGAGTGAAGGCAAGAGAGAAGAGACGCAGGAGTGAGGCGGATGAGAGAAGAGAAAGGAGACGAGGAGTGAGGCGGAGAGAGAAGAGACGAGTGAGTGAGGCAGCAGAGAGAAGAGACGAGGAGTGAAGGCGAGAGCATTGCATGAAGGGGAGGGAGACACACACGACGCCGAGTGATCACGTCGTTTTCGTCTCGCGTTGGGCTTGTTAACAAACTAAGATCACGAAATCTGTGTTGACCTAATGTTGACTCCATGAGACGGGAATCAGTGGCAGTTGTAAATCGAAGCAGGAAGCCATCCCCTAGCACGCACCTCT